CAGTCTCTGCTGTCTCTCATTCCAAGAAAACCAAACCCTGAGTAAGGGCCTGAAATCCCCAGAACCTTGCACTGCTAGGAGACTGAGGTAGCACACAACAATATTTCCCTCCCTTTACCCAAGAGCCCATAGCAAATACATGCTAAAATGAACCAGAAATTATTTTTCCAACGCAGGTCTTGTTCATAAAATGACTACAGTGGTACCTCGGGTTACAGATGCTTCAGGTGACAGACGCTTCAGGTTACAGACTCTGCTAACCCAGAAATAGTACCTCGGGTTAAGAACTTTGCTTCAGGATGAGAATAGAAATCGTGCGACGGCGGCATGGCAGCAGCAGGAGGCCCCATTAGCTAAAGTGGTACCTCAGGTTAAGAACAGTTTCAGGTTAAGAACGGACCTCCAGAACGAATTAAGTTCTTAACCCGAGGTACCACTGTATTAACGAAACATAGGGATCAGTGCAGCTTTAATTTATTTGTCAGAATCTGCTACTAATAATTACTGAATTAGATTTTCTTTTTTTATTAGGATGAAAATGCAAGCTGACAAATTTATCTTAAAATTACTTCAAGGCAAAAAAAGAAAAGAAAAATTACTTCAAGGCCTCAAATAAATTTACATGAAAAAAAGGTTGACAAATGTTGAATTGGCCCCTCCATCTGTGCCTTTAACGGCCACTTGTCCTGTCGCAATTATTGCTAGGCCTGATAAGCATCACATTTGGAGTTCTGCATATCAACCAGCTTTTAAAAGCACTAGAGTGAGTTAGGCCAGGTATTGTCTGGCTACTTAGCAGCCATAATAGAAAATGATGGAGGGAGGGAATCTGTGCCAGGTTTCCTCCAAAATGACCACTCTCATCTTTCGGTCTGTGCTCTCTTAGGATTCAGGAAAGCTATACACCAGCTCTAACTTATTTGCCAGGGAAATAAAGTTCACATGCAATAGAAAACAGAAATATAAAAATCTATGACCATTGTGTGAATCCAGACGGCCATTATCCTACGAGCAGATTTAACTTCTGTATGTTTTTAAAGTATAGGTAAAGGTACCCCTGCCCATACGGGCCAGTCGTGACCGACTCTAGGGTTGCGCGCTCATCTCGCTCAAGAGGCCGGCGCCGTCCGAAGACACTTCCCGGTCACGTGGCCAGCGTGATGAAGCTGCAACTGGCGAGCCAGCACCAGCGCAGCACACGGAGACGCCGTTTACCTTCCCGCTATAAAGCGGTACCTATTTATCTACTTGCACTTTGACATGCTTTCGAACTGCTAGGTGGGCAGGAGCTGGGACCGAACGACGGGAGCTCACCCCGCCGCAGGGATTCGAACCGCCAACCTTACGATCAGCAAGTCCTAGGCACTGAGGTTTTACCCACAGCGCCACCCGCATCCCTTTTTAAAGTATAGTTGCGATTATTTCTCAATCTTATTGTTTTATCTTTTTAAAAACTGCTTTGAGGGTTTTCGTTTTACAATCAAGTGGTGCATAAATTTTAAGAAATAAATGAATCGTCATGGTGGATACATAAGCATTGGTGGGCAGTTTTCACCCATTCTCCACTTTTTTTGCCTCTTTCATTTTTTAAAAAAGTGTTCTTTCTTTCTTTTTGTTTTGTTTCAGCACTCACCATCTGAGTTCACTGTTAGAAGAGGCGATTCTGGTCCCTAAGCACCTGCCTGATCCTGTCATGTGCTGGCACCAACCATGTTGAGGCCTGGGAAACTGTTCATTTCTCCACATCTTAGCCAGGGGTGGGGGGAAGATTATGTGACTGCGACATTTTGCTTGGGCTTTGATTTATGTCTGTCAGTCTATTCAGAGAAGTGTAGATGGGTGAATGCAGAGAGAGAGAAGGAGAGAGAGGCAGAGATTACAATTAGACAGATCTTAAGAATATTGAAGGTAACTGATGTAAAGAGTCTTAAATATTTTGCTTCTGGCAACTATAAGTACATGTGTGCAATGCTGAGGCAGTCTGTTCCCCACAAAAATATTTAGTTTTGATTCAGTGTCAAGGATTCCAAACCTTTCCTTTCCTCTTTCTTGGCCATCTTCCTTCAGTACCTTGGTTAATTCTGGCAAAGACACCTATTGCCCCAGGTATTACCCAGGCTTCATGTCTAGACATGTTCCTTCTGCTCCATCATGTGGTGGAGGGAATGTATTTTCTGGTGATGAGCTCAGCTTCATAAACCCAAACACACACTTGTTTGTTTTCTTTTCATTTGAGGCAAAAAAAATATACTTTTAACAGAAGCAGCTCACTGCAGTGAACATAACTTCTCCCTGTCTAATTCCAGAGTCTTTGGGCCTATTCTGGAAAGGAAATGCATTAAGAGACCCTTTCTTACTGCTAAATGTGCCTTAGCTAATATGAAAATCAGACTGGAAGTAGCTTTTTCTGTGATGCTCGTACTTAACAGCTTCTCTCAATGCCGGAACTGGAATGTTCCAAGTTCATAAGGACTACAGCCCTTTTACTAAGTTTCTCCTTATAAATTTCTAGGAAATATAAACTGAAAATGTTGGGTTCTGCTTTCTAAGAGAACCCTATCATTTTAGGTTTCTTTCAAACTGAAACAGGCATTTCTTTTATACTCACTTTTCACCCCAAATATACACTCCTTGTAGTAGAGTTTGTTCAAATTCAGGGCTTCTCTCTTCAGGGTAGGGTTGAGATGTAACAGTTTCCACGTATACAAAATACTCAACTAGTTTTCTTTTACAGCAAGCATCCATCTACATTACATGTAAGCACAATGAGTCACAGCTGATAACTTCCTGGGTATATTTGACCCTTTGACAGGTGTCATATGCCCTGTCAATGTTGAATTCAAGCAACTCTCTTACATTAACTGAGGAGCATGGGAACTAGTTCTGTGTGGCTGGATCTCGTACCAGTAAGGTTAATATAAATTATTCTTTAAATAGGCAAGAAGAGGAGTGATGTTCACCACATCTCAGTTCTTGTTTCAAGAGGCAGCTGGGAAAATGTAAGTGCTTAAGAGATATCCATGGGCTGGGTGAGGGAGGAGGGTGGAGGAGGGAAGAAAGTGCCAAAATGAGTAGGTAGGTGAATGTGTGTTCAAACCATATCCAACACACTTAAAATGTTGCACGTCTTTTACCATTTTTGGCAAGCGAGGACAGAAGTAGAACTCCAGAAATGTGGGACTGTTGCTGGGCAACAGCCTTTCGCATTATCTTACTGCATCCCAAACTATATGGAATAAGGAGGGGAATATGCAGGGATGGTGAGGGGGGTGGGATTTTTCCATTAGGGAACTGTGAAAAATGTGCAGGTGTGTGATGGAATTAGGTTTTAGCCAGCTTCCCACTCCCTCTTCCAAATGGCCCATCAAATATAATTGTTGGCCACACACACACACACACACACACACGTATGGAATCTGTGGGAAACAAATTCTGGAAGAATGAAAATAGTAAGCCTGTAGCAGAAGTGGGTTTACTCTAGTGCGAGCTTGTTTTTGTAGGCAGCAAACTTCTTCATAAGATACAGCTGAGTGACAGTGAGAAATGACAATTTTTAAAAAAGCAGTAGGCTTTTCCATTGTTAAATGGAAATCACAAAACAATCCCCTCTACACTTTTTTCACCTGTTTCCAAATTTCACACAATGCTATTACCCGTTACTGCCTGGTGCAAGTTAAGATAAAACTCTCAAATGGCTGAGAGAATATATTTCCTGAGGATACATTTCTGCAAGGACAATTAGCATTTCCCTTCCCCCTGAAATTTGTATCCCCTCTCCAATAATGCCTTCCTGGGGTCTTGTGGGTTTCAGAACCACATGCTTCTGCCCCAAGAGCTTCTGTACTTTGAGTCTTTAGCACTCATAGTCTGCGGGTTTGTGTACCAGCTATGAAACACTGTGGGTGCTCGTTAAAAAAGGAAACTATATAGTGCCAGCTTGAGAAGGGATGACAATTACTAATATAACATGAGCACTTTCTGTTTATATGACTAAGGCTTAGTCACATACCTGGGCTGTGGCTCTGCATTGGACTGAAAATGCCTGTGGAGGACACATCCCTGCATTTTGGCAGCAGCTGAAGTTCAGTGCATTTTTCAAAGATGAAATTCTCAAGAACAGAGGGGACAGTTTAACCTTGTGGTTATGGTTACGAGTGAGCAAGGAAGTCTTAATTACACTGGAGGAAAAATCCCTTAGTCATAGGGACTCTAGCATATTCTAGATCTTCTACAAATAAATAAAATCATTTGGGGTTTTGTGGTAATAAGCAAGCTGTTAAATATAAGTATTCAGTCTCCCCCCCCCCTTTTGAAATAATTTCCTGAAGCTAAAGTTCCCTATTGATCATTTCACACAAGATACAGATGAGAGTCTGGAAGCAGAGATGCTGCATTTCGTCAACGTATTGAATGTGGTGTTTGAGTTTCTTGTAAAAAGATGCCACTTTGATTTGTTGTTTTTTAAAATAACAGGAACATCAGAATTTTTTTAAAAAACAACCTAATGGGATTATTGTATTCAGTCACCCTGAGACAGCTCATTCCAAGTTGGCATACTCTCCTGACTGCTAAATGCAAACAATATTAACCAATTTGTGCTATGAAAACCCATGGGCTTACTAGGATGGATTCCCCCACCCACCCCCGATGTGTGATTAAATGTTTTTCCCTACTACCCATATTCACTGGTGGAGGTCAAGCACTCAAATGTCCCAGATTGGTTAATTATGTGGTTCCTTCTTGTCACTTCTCCCCTTTTCTTTAAATAGGGTGAGCACCAGACACTTTGTTCCCTGACGTGGTGCAGCAAATAATGCATTCCACCCGCAGTGTCCGCAGACCATGATGCAACACGTATAAGGCTGGTCAAGTTATTTTATTTCTGAGACGGAACACAGGATGCTGCCTTACAATGAGTAAGACCATTTTGCTCAGTACCATCTGCACGGACTGGCAGTGGCTCACCAAGGTTTCAGACAGAGGACATGCTCAGTCCTACCTGGAGATGCCAGGGACTGAGCCTAAATCTTCTGCATGCAAAACAGATGCTCTGCCACAGAGCTACATTTCTTCCCTAAACCCCACAGGCACCTGTTTCTGGCAATAAAAACACAACAGTAATGAATTAGATCATGAAGAAGAAGAAGAAGAAGAAGAAGAAGAAGAAGAAGAAGAAGAAGAAGAAGAGGAGGAGGAGGAGCTTGGATTTGATATCCCGCTTTGTCACTACCCAAAGGAGTCTCAAAGTGGCTAACATTCTCCTTTCCCATCCTCCCCCACAACAAACACTCTGTGAGGTGAGTGAGACTGGGAGACTTCAGAGAAGTGTGTCTAGCCCAAGGTCACCCAGCAGCTGCATGTGAAGGAGCGGGGAAGCGAACCCAGTTCACCAGATTACGAGCCTACCACTCTTAAGCACTACACCACAAGTTGCTGTCCTTTCGTGATACCCGAACTCTGCTGCCCAAGGTGATTGCTAACAACAGGGCCCTCCAGCTTGATTTTCAGACTATGGTTTGAAAAGATCATCATTAAAGCAAGGATACCTGCACCATGTACAGCTTTATTTGGATTTGTTAATCTCTGAAGCAAAGTGCACAAACCTGACAAATTAGAACTACATATCTTGATCAGGTAAGCCAGGGGCATCACTAGTCTTGGATATAGTCAGATCTTTCATCATGCAATGATAGCCCTTGGCTAACAACATTTAGCTGTTCTCTTAAGGTGTTGCATGTGAATTTAGAGAAAGAATTCTGATCAACACTAGTCAAATGAGTTCAGATTCTACTCTTTGAGATGGCGACACTCAATATTAAGTCAGTGACCTGATTCAGCAAGAGGCCCAGCTCAGGAACTCGTTTGTGCTTTATGACAGCTCACATGATACAGTGTTTATAAATAACTGTAAACACACACTGTTTAAGTGAGGTTTATAGGTTAAACAGAGACACAGTATGTTCTGAACTTAAGAGGCATATACTGTATACGGAAAATCATTACCAGGAAAATAATTACCAGGTTTCAGTGTGAGACCTAAAAGTTCTAATGCTGAACCTCAATCAAACACAACAATTCATCAATATCAGTATAATGCAGCTAGGATAAAGGAGCCAAACCCTTAATCCAATTGAGCAGCAACCATCTTTGCTGCAACTACAGTGTTGTTTTCTGTGTTAAATGCACAAACTTTGAAAGGGATCTATGCATCTCCAAGCTTTAGAGAACATGTTCTAGGCAGCCATGATTGGCTATGTATTTCTGGCCCATGTATACTGTGCTTGGAGACAATTATCTTCTGTTTAATGCCTGTTGTGTGAAGTTTCCCCATCTTTCCATTTAGAATACATGTTTGCCAGCATCTCTGATCTCCATATCATAAAACCGTGTAAAGTTTTATTTGTAATGTATCCAGAGCCCCTCTTCTGGTCTGCTTTTGTGGGATTAATTTCTGTTATTACCCAAGGCAAAATGCTTGAAGCAGAGGCAGATTTAGGGGAGCGTGACTGGTTCGGTTGTACTGGTTGTGGAACATTGAGGGTGCCACAACTATTACTTAGAATGGAGTGCAAGAGGTGGGGGGAGTACCAATTTTTGGTGTTGCACAGGGCACTACTGTACTGAAATTTGAAACCGCAAGGTCTACCACTGCTTGAAGTGTTTGGCTTATCAAATCTGCTATATTTTTGCTTCTTAAAATTTTAATTAGTTGTACAGATGATACCTCTTTACAGAAAGTCTTCCAAAAACTGTATCAGCTATTTTTCAATAGTTGTTTGTTTTTTACCCAACATCCCAATATATGATGCTAGTTTTTATCTTGTACTCCTCTGCTCCAGTGCATTTTCCTAACTTGCAGAGAAAGCTCAGACACTGGAATCACCCATGCAGTCATACAACAGTGGTGAATATGCTTCCTGTTAATCTCACACTTTTCTGGTCAATACAGAAATACCATTCTAATCTCAGGGTTTAAAGACGTGAAAGTTAGGGCATGGGTGCTTCCAGATAGGGCCTTAATTTGTAAATGGGTAGTTGAGATATCATAAAGAGGTAGATGGCATTTTTAGTTACTATTTACTGGATTTCCCCCTGAAAGTATAAATGGGGAATAAATGGGGAAGAGAAATAGAGGCTGGCATTTTGATGCCAACCATGTCATGTGGCTGCAGCAAAACATTTGCATGCATGAGGAGCAGCAATCCCATAATAAGCACTTATCTGGAAGAACCCTGGGACACGACACAATTTGACCCAGACTGTGAGTTCAGTGAATAAGCAGAGATTTGAACCTGAATCTTACATGTGAAAATCAGGCCACGGAATGCTGGTCTCAAGGGATTTCACTTTTAGAGCCTCTTGAAATTGTTTATATATGTGGCTTGTTCAAAATGCTATGAATACAACTCTTGGCTACTTTGTTTTGCTTATTAAGCAGCATTTACGACACAACTGATCTTTAATGAGCAAGTGGATACTAATGGTTCCTGCTTGAGTTCTTACAGGCAACATGTAGCTCTAATTGCTCCATCCTATTGTTTTCATGTTAACTCCAGCTTGTTAAATAATTGATTTTATAATGCCAGTCTCACTTTGTGTGCGCAAACAATACATACTGCAGCACAGGCAGACTCTGTTGGAGCCACCCCTGTCTACTTTTTATCTATTTTTACCATGTGAAGCAAGCTTTATGTCAAAAGTAAGTAAGATGTAAAAATAGATCACATATAGCAACTTGTATGAAGTTTATGAGTGCACAGTAGCACAACAACTCGTACAACTGTTGTTAGTGATGTAATTGCCATTTGTGCAACCACGCTATTGAAGCAGTTTGATTCTGGCTACAGCCCAGTTATTCTTACTCATGCCAGCTTTGTCCCTTCCCATGGCCTTCTCTTCACACCTAGACAGCTTTCTTCAGAGAAGCAGCTTGGTTGTGGAAGAGGGGAAATTGCAGGTAGGGCAAAGGGCATTCAGAAAAGAATTGAAGGAAGCTAGGAGGAGGGAACGGGTGTTAATAGGCAAGTATTTATCATAAGGAAAGCTGCAGAACATTAACAGATGGAAGAGAACAGATATGCAGGATGAGACAGGCTGTAAATTAAGTGGTGCCAGTACTAAAGCATAAAGCCTGCTTCATGAAGTTGCCAGATCATCTTATTTAATAAGCAGAATTAGACTTTTATGTTAAAATAGCTGCTTACATTTTTAGCTGCCTCTCTTGGTCACAATCCACCATAAAGTTAAAATGCTCCTGGTATTTATTTTAAGCTTTTTTATTTTCCTGGCTTGTTAAAAGTATAAAACTCATATATTGTTTTATTAAAAAATACATTGAAATTCTACTCTTATGGTCTTCACCTTGCCCCCCCCCTTGGATCTCCAGCTAAATCACCCCTGACCATCAGCCATGCACATTGAAAACAATGGGAGTTGAAGTCTAACAAAGATTCCCCAAGCAGTCTTGCTTTAAGTCTGCTTTGAGATGCACAAAAGCAAAGAGGCTTCTTAATTCATTCCTTCTTTTTGGGTAGGCACGCCATATTTTATGTAGGGGCACAGACTGAAATTATTGTTTCCAGCACCCTCCTCCAATTCATCTTGGAAAATTACAGCTTTCACAAGTATACACAAAATGCGTCTCCTCCCCCTCCAAATGATTTGCTTAGAACAGGGAAAATGCAGAAACTGGTGAAAACCTTCCACCTGCTCTTGTTTACAGAGTATCCAGTTGAGAACTCTGTGTACTTAACAAGAACATCCAAACATTTCAGGTGCAGCAGGTGCACTGCAAGGAAGTCCTGTGATACGCTCTCCTCAACTCTTAAGTTTTCACATCACAGGGTATGTAGTTTCTGTGGATCCATCTCCATAAATCAAAATAACAGATGATGAGCTAAAGTAGAAGGAAGACATGCATTCCAGTTTTGCATCTGAACATCACCATCACCATCATGATATCCTTATACACTTAGATGTGTTAGCCTCAGCTTCTCTAACAAGGCCAATAGCTCTTATTTGAGGGCACATCCATTTTCAAATACATTAAGAGGCAAGGCTGCAGAGGAAAGGGGAATGAAGGTAAGGAAAGTGACAGAGCTGTGTTTGCACCAGATCTGCAAATCAGGCAGCTTAATATTTGATGGAAAAGAATAAAGCAGGTTGACTATGAGGTCCTTGAATTGCATGGGCATTATATCTGTTGTAAAGGAGGAAAAGGAAAAGGAAAGGAATGGTGTTGGGTATTAGAAAGTGGCAGACCTATGAGGACTTCAGATGGGGAGGGAAAGAGGTATGGAAGAGAGAGAAGTGAAATTAATTTTCCTCAACTTTGAGGTGGGGTAGAAAGGGACTTTGGAGATGCTGCTGGTATCTCTAGTTTAAGTGCATCAGCAGAAATTGAACTGTGCATTGGAATACCTGCTTGGAGGAGCATGCTTTACTTTTTTTATGCAATCACACTGAGACCTGAGTATGGGAAATAAGAAATCTGAGTTGATAATAGGATATACATATTGAATATATCCTACATCTAGGTAACTAAGGTGGAGATGCAAAGAGCCATGCTTGCTCTTTCATCTCTGCAGGAGAGAGATGAAGGAAAGATATAGCCTCTCCCAATGAGGCATGAAGAAGAGAAGGAAGCAGGAAGACTAGGAATCAAGAGTGTTTCTCCTCTCTCTACTCCCCTCTCTCATACTTCAATACAAGCTATGTGGCATCCCAACACTTCCAACACATGCCACATAGAGGGCTCATCTAGACTTCCTTTTGTGTTGTGTTCTAGGCACAGGTCTGGGCTTTAAAACTCTGTGTCAGAGCATTTTTCTTTTCCCAGCGCTTTCCCCGGCAAAACCCATGTTCTACCACTGAAGTGAAACAAATGGCATTCAAATTTTTGCCACTCAGACACAGAGCTTTAAAGCATGGACCTGTGCCTAAAAGGAAGTCTGGATGAACCTATAGAGAGAGCTCTTGAGCTTAGTCCCCGTGGTTCAGTTGTCGCCCAATGGCTCCTCAGGTTGCGCTGTCAACCAAAGCAATCCCTTCCACCTTTCAGCATTTTTGGCA